GTTATTTATATCTGTTAAAGATTTTTTATGCCGTTAAAAAGCAAAAAATATAAATTTGTAGTTACGTTTTTGTTTTAACAATTTAGATAGCTTAAATACATGATATTAAAATTGTCCATATAATTGAACTTGGTTTTCATAATTTAGATGTGTGAAAAAGTTATCATTTATGTTTGTTTATAACTTGTTATGCCGTTAAAAGAAAAAAAATACAAATTTACAATTATTGTTTTGTTTTAATAGTTTGGATTGCTTAAATACATGATATTAAACTTATCTAAATGATTAAACTTGGTTTCCACCCTTAATGTGTGAAAAATTGTTTATGTTTGTTTAGCACTTTTTGTGCTATTAAAGAGTAAAAAATGTAAATTTACATTTACATTTTTGTTTTAATAGTTTAGATAATTTAAATATATAATATTAAACTTGTCTGAATGATTGAACTTGATTTTCACTATTTAGATGTGTGAAAAAGTTGTTGTTTATGTCTGTTTATGACTTTTTATGCCATTAAAAGGCAAAAAATGTAAACTTGCAGTTATTGTTTTGTTTTAATAGTTTGGAAAGTTTCAATATGTGATATTAAACTTATATAAATGATTGAATTTGGTTTCCACTCTTAATATGTGTGAAAAAGTTATTATTTATATCTATTTAACATTTTTTATGATGTTAAAGGGCAAATAATGTAAATTTGCAGTTACATTTTTGTCTTAACAGTTTAGATAACTTAAATATATTATATTAAACTTATCCAAATGTTTGAACTTAGTTTCCTTAATTTAGATATGTGGAAAAGTTATTGTTTATGTCTGTTTATGACTTTTTATGGTGTTAAAAAGGTCAAAATACAAATTTATAGTTCTTGATCTATTTTAACAAATTGGATAGTTTCAATACATAATATTAAACTTGTTCGAATGATTGAACTTAGTTTTGACCCTTAATATGTGTGAAAAGTCACTGTTTATGTTTGTTTAACATTTTTTGAGCCATTAAAAGACAAAATTTGTAAATTTGCAGTTACATTTTTATTTTAATAGTTTGGATAGCCAAATACATGATAGTAAATTTGTTCGAATGATTGAACTTGATTTTCATAATTTAGATGTTTGAAAAAGTTACCGTTTATATCTATTTATGACTTTTTGTGTAATTATAAGGCAAAATATAAAATTATAGTTATTTTTCTATTTTAACAGTTTGGATAGCTTCAATACATAATGTTAAATTTGTCTGATTTATTAAATTTGGTTTCCACACTTGATATATGTGAAAAACTCGTTGTTTATGTCTATTTAGATTTTTTGTGCCATTAAAGGGTAAATATGTAAATTTGCAGTTATAGTTCTATTTTAATAGTTTAAATAGCTTAAATATTTGATATTAAATTTGTCCAAATGATTGACTTTGATTTTCACAGTTGATATTTATGAAAAAGTTATGGTTGATGTGTTTTTAACAATAATATACAATTTTATGTAAGAGATTGCGTTGGGTGAAAAAATTAGACGTGTGAAAATTTTTCGATTAATTCACATGAAAAAAGACAGATCTTACCTAAATATCAAAATGTAATAAATTGTGGTAATTTAGTGGATTTGTTTTATACAGAGAGTAAATATTTACTATTTCAAATATATTATGAATTAATTATTGCACTTGACAGCATTATTTGATTAATTTACAAGAAAAATCGAAAGGGTAAGTGATCGCTAAAATTAAAGCAGCATCTAATTATTCTGTCAACATGCAAGACTTGAAAAATCGGATATTCACAAAAGTTACTAGAAAAGAAATACATGGATAGGTCTGAAACCTTGGATTGAGTCCAACACCATTTAGCTATTACGAACATAACTCTTAGCAATTTACATTCATAGTAAGTCAGTCTTCATAAGACATCTTCATATTAAAAGAAGGATTGTAAACTATGCAACAATGTGTCAAGCAAATGGAAGCAGAAAGAGAAGTAGAGCATGCCAGACTAAAAGAGGAGCGTGCTAGAATGGATCAAGAGTATTTAAAATTTTAGTAGTTACATAATTGATTCGACATTTTTATGAATTTTGTGTAGCAACAATTTCTAAGAATAAATCTAGGTGATCTACCAACTCAAGTATTATATTTAGTAACTATTTATATTTTTTAATATTAAAATTAGCTTATTATTAAGTGTAAAAAATTATTTTACTTTATTCAATAGGTTCTTGGGCTTGCTAGTAATCATGGTGGAAAACATCCTTTATCAAATAGTAGTGCTTTAACTCTAAGTGTTCATCGATTTCATATATTTTAAATTTTTAATTAATATATTGAAACAATTTGAATGATATTATATTAAACTTTGTATGAAATGCATAGTAAAACAAATGATATATTTAGATATTTAAATATTTATAATATTTAATTTTTTTAATTTAAATTCTTTTTATTTCTTTGACTAATTTTTCTATTAAATTATAGTAGTAAGTGTTGAAAAAATAAAAAAAAGGTAAATTTCATAATTAGCGATATTTGCGTCAAATGCTAAATTTAGTGGCATTTATGCCCAAAAATGTTGCTAAATATAATGGCTTTTTTCATAAACATCGTTAAGTTAACGACGTTTTTTCCTAAAATGTCGTTATTTTTCTTGATATAGGTTAGCCAACACTCTTAGTAGTATTTTTTTACAAACGTCGTGAATCTTTTAACGACATTTATAAACATCGTTAAATGTGAAAAAAAAAAACACACTGAAGACTTATTTTCCTGTAGTGTATAAAATAATTACAATTTTAATATACATCAAAATTTTAATTCATATATTAAATAGGTAAAATGATTATTGCTAATTTTATATATCATTTCACTTTAATGATAAAAGTTTTTTATCTTTTTGTATGAAACTAAATCATCCTTCAAGATAATATTCTAATCACTCTTAATGATTTAAAATAATCACTACATAAGATTACCAAATATTTATTAAATACAATAATTTAATTATCATATATAAATCATCATAATAATAATCATCTTATACTAGACACTGCCTAATGGCATTCTTACATAAACATGAATAAGTTGCAAACCGAAATATTTAAGGAGTACTTTACCTATTTGACCATATTATAAAAAAATAGATTTGAATTAATGAGTATGGGACGCCTAAACGCAAACAATTATTCCGAAAGCAAACGGAAAACGTCCCGTTATTAGGAAATATATTATTTATAATTTTTTTAAAAAAATTATTAAATGCATTGATAATAGAATTTATTAATTTTATAAATAAAATTAAATTAATAACAAATGTCTTTTAATGTATATTTAAAAAATAAAATATATATTATTATTTTAATTTTATTTGTGAAATTAAAAAATTATATTATCAATATATCAAACAAATTTTAATTATCTAATTAAAATAAAAATTTATATAAAAATATATTATTTATAAATATAAATTTCAAATAAAATTTTAATTAATTTTATATAATTTTAAATTATAATTAATTAATTATATTACCGTCGTGATATAATTCTAAACACTAGGGACGTTAGTCGTCAACAACTCACGTGATCTTCCTGCACGTGTTCTCACGTTTTCATAAAACACTTAAAAACTATTGAAGGAGCTGCCACCTGTACACTCTTATCTCAATCGATCGAAACATCCCCAGAAAAGGCCAAATACAACCATGGATACTCGCCACGTGTCATTGTCGCTGTGAGTTCTGGCTTTCGTCACATGCCAAAGCACTCACATTGCTCGCTGACACCGCCACCCCGCCCTCTATCACGTGAAACTTGGAGCCCACACATGCAAAACCCAAATTTACAAATAAAAAAAATACTATGCGAATATATAAAAGTAATAAAATAAAAAATCAAAGTGAGTGAAAACAAAGGTCTGGTGAACGAAGACCTCCGGGTCAAGCAACGCCCCCGGTTCCTTCTCTTTTTCAGGCTTTCCTTTTAATTCAAGCAGAAAAGTATGGAAAAAAAGTAGTGGTAAAACTAAAAAAAAAAAAAAAAAAGATGAGAGTAACAACTTATCTACTCTTCGAAGTACACTGGCGTTTGGATTGGTGTCATTCAGTAGGTACTCGCTTTACTAACAGTTTCTGCACTTCTCTTTGTTTGCCACGTGGTCTCTGCACCAACGTCGAAATACTTACATCATGCAAAAGCATTTCGGAAACGATAAAAAAAAAAGAAATTCAGGAATTATTAGAATTAGAATTTGTTTTAATTGAGAGTTAAAACGAATTTTTTTTCCTAAATTAAAAATATGAAAAATATTAGTGTCTCACACTACCATTATCCAAATATTTACAATGATAAAACGATTTATAAATTTGTTACTGATTTGTTATTTCTATACATTTATTTACAATCAAACTGTTTGTTTCTCAAATAAAAATATTATTCAAGTAAAAGTATTAAAAAGTTTAAAACATTATTTACTAAAAATTATAATATTAGCAAAAATTAAAAAAAAAAAAAACGAATATCAGAGAGCAAATTAGTTTTAAAAGAAAAAGAAATGCACTAAAAATACATTGGCCGACTCCGGAGGGAAATTAAAGCAGAGAAATCGGGCTGTAAACTTGGACGCTAATACATAAACCTTAGCGACAAACCTGCTAGATTGGTTCCTAAGGGATTGAATTAGAACACAATCTAAATTTTACCCTTCCCCTAATCATTGATTAATCACCTTTTTACCCAATTAGTTGACTAATTAATTATTAATTAAGTGTGACAAAAAGTTTTTGTTAAAATTACCGTTATTGCCCATTTATCAGTAACTGGAGTCGTAATGCAAGCAATGAAATAATATCTTGTGCGGTACGTGGTGTGATGATTGTTGTACACTTGGGTGATCATCACCCTCACCATCATCCCTTCAACGCGAATAAAACCTCTCTCTCTTTTTTCAAAACCACAACTCTTCACACTCCTCTCTCTCTGATTTCTACAGTTTCCTCACTATACTCTCACTATCCTACCCTTTAATCTCTCCGTTTAACGCCAATTTCGAGTAATAGAAAAAAAGAAAAAAAACGAAACCTCAAATTATGGAAGCCCCACAGTTCTTTCAAGGAAGCAGCTACTGTTCTCAATTCGCGCCAGACAAACCGGCGGCCGGTGACCGTTTCATTGTGGAGGACTTGCTCGATTTTTCCAACGAGGATGCCATTATTACTGACAGCATATTCGACTCTTCCGTTGTTGGCCATTCAACGGATTCCTCCACTGTTACGGCCGTAGACAGCTGCAATTCGTTGTCGTTTTCTGGTTGCGAACCTAATTTTGCCGGTGATATTGGTTGCCGAGGTTTTACTGACGGTCATTTCGCCGGTGACCTTTATGTGCCGGTAATTCCCCCCTACATGCAGTAATGTGAGAGGTTAAAAAATTTTGACAGAAAAAAAATTGATAAAGTGTTGAATTTCACCTTATTTTTATTGCTTTCGCCAGCCAAGAAAATAAAGTTTACTATATTTCTTTGAAATTTTAACTTTGGTTCAAAAAGAAAGCTGGTAAATTTTAGACTTTTACATTTTTTTACGTATTTTGTATTTTTTGATAAATTTCCCAGGATAATGACGCATGTGCATGGCAAATGCACTTTGGTGAAAGCTGCGTGAATATTGACAATAGTTTCTTTATCAGAATACTTCAAATTTGAAAAAAAAAAAAAAACTAAAATGAAAATTTGCTAGTAATATTATTACTTTTTATTTATTTTAACAGATTGACGATTTAGCTGAGCTCGAATGGCTGTCGAATTTCGTGGAGGAATCATTTTCAAGTGAGGACCTGCAAAAACTCCAGCTGATATCCGGAATGAAAACCCTACCTGACGAATCATCAAAGACCCGGGGGTTCCAACCCGTTCTTCTCAGCCAAATGAATAGCGTCATTGATAACTGTGACAGCAACCGCGGTAACAATAAAAACAACCCAATTTTCCATCCGGACATGTCGGTGCCCGCCAATGTCAGAAGCAAACTTTCCCGCGCTGCGCCATGCAATTGGGCCTCCCGCCTCCTTGTTCTCAGTCCAACAACTTCGTCTTCCGACCCCGAGATTTTGGTCCCTGTCCAACCACCTCTCCCGAACTATCCAGGCAAAAAGCCCGTCAAAACGACATCGTCGAAGAAAAAAGATGGCTGCGAAGGCGGTGGCCTCGCCAATTCGGATGGGCGGAAGTGCCTGCATTGTGCTACGGATAAGACGCCGCAGTGGCGGACAGGGCCCATGGGCCCAAAAACATTATGCAATGCATGTGGAGTGAGGTATAAATCGGGGCGGCTTGTACCTGAGTACCGACCCGCTGCGAGCCCGACATTTGTGCTGACTAAGCATTCAAATTCTCACCGTAAGGTGCTTGAGCTTAGACGACAAAAGGAATTGGCAAGGGCCCAACAGAAACATCAGCAACAATTCATGCAGCATCATCATCACAACATGGCTTTTGATGAATCTAACGGTGATGATTACTTGATCCAACAGCACGTGGGCCCTGATTTCAGGCATCTGATCTAGTAGCTGCTAGTGTAGAGAACTTTAATTAAGGTCGAGTTCTTCAAAAATATTTCCAGGGGTTAATTTAATCACCGAATTCTTTAGTGAATTCAACTTTTATTCCTTTTATTCATAGGGTTAATTTTTACTAGCTGCTCTTTTTTCTTTTTAGAATTTTTGTAGACTATTTAATGATTTTTTTTATAAAAAAAATTGAACTCGATATAAAATTAATTAGAGATGTTCGTTCGATTGAATCGATTAATTTTAATTTAAATTATTTAAAATTAAATTAAATTATTTTATTTTTGTTAATTGAAATTAAATTTATGAATTTTAAAAATTAATCGATCGAATTTAATTCTATCAATTAATTAATTTTTTTTCAATTAATCAAATAATAAATATATTTAAATTAAATTATATTTTAAATTCTTAATTTTCATATTTTAAACAAATTAAATAAAATTATTAAGCAAAATATTCAAATATCACAGTATTATGCTTAAAACTCTAACAATTTATAAAATTAAATGATCCATTTTACATATGTTTTATTTTAAATTTGAATTATGTTATATTTTGATTAAATTTTCAGTTAATTCGATTAATTCGGTTCAAAAATTGAATTAATCAAAAACTAAAATTTTTTTAAAATAATTTTCATTAACAAACTAAAATTAATTTGATGGTCAATCGATTAATCGAATTAAATCGATTTGTTTGATTAATTCAATTAAAATTGAATTATTAGTATCCTTAAAATTAATTACATATATTAAAATTTAAAATTTGAATTTAATGAATATCATATTTTAAAAATAATTATATAAATCAATAGAATTAAAATTTCGAGTTCTAGCTATTTAATATTTTCCTGAACTGGTTTTTTTCATGCCAAATTTGGCTAAGTCTTGAAGCCCTTTTTTAGTAATATATTAATATATAAACAGATCGACCAATTTAATGTACCCTAATATTAAGCAATTACTTTATATTTGAACTACTTGTTAAATTCAGTTTGTTCTGCCCCAATTAAATTGAAACAATATCTAAGCTTTTCTTAATTCTATGTAGACTTTTTTTTGAAGAAATTAATTCAATATATACTTGATTGGCATTTATAGTTAGAATTTGATAATGTATATAAATAGAATAAGTTGAAATGTAATCGTTGTATTATTATTTCATTAATAAAACCTTAGCTAGGTTTAAATCTGGTTCTTTGATTTCAATAACAAATACATTTTATTTGGAAATATATATCCTACCATCATATATTTGAGAAAGAAGTTGATATACATACTTACTTTGTTGTAAAGTGTCACTTCAGTGAAGAAGAAGCAAAGAGGGTAACAATTTTATCAAAGAATTAATGTTGACATAGTCTTGTATGAAAATTCGGGTAATGCTTTAATTTTAGCCATCCAAGTGTGTTTCTAAAGACACGTCTTTGTCACTTTACCAAGCCGAATAATAGTTAAAGGATTTAAGGCCACTTGCCATTCTCCTGAGTTAAGTTACACAGAAATAGAAAAAGTCAAGATTTATCATCTGCCTTTATTTATTTTTCCGTTTGCAAGAATTTCCAAATTCACATGGAGTTTTCCTCCATAGCCTGAAAACACAAGAAGAATATTTCAAGGTCCCCCCAAGCGACGGGAGGTAAATGCAAAACTTCTTTTTTTTTTTTTGAAGGCTAGTTGTATATAGGGTAAGGAACTAGCTAAGGTTGGGATAACGTCAAAACTTAAAAGATTAAATAATGAGCCCCAAAGGCGAAAGTTGATGTTGTTTTTAAGGTAAATTTACAAACCAAATACATGAAATTTTTAGTATTTTACTTATGTAAAGAGATCGTGGGAAGAAGAAAATTGAATGGTAGGGAGATGATCAACATAAATTTCAGTTAAAAGAAATCAAATGGTGATGTAGCTTTTACATTCAGAGAATGTTATCACACAAGTTAAACGCCGATTCCTTAACATCGTTTTCTGCCTTCCCACCTTTTTCTTGGAGGACTTCGAGATTGAAATGAAAAAGAAAGTTCCGATAAGTGATAATATGAACAAGGAAATTTAGGTTCTGATGAATATTAAAAAAAGCTTTGGTTTTTCAAACCATAGTTAGTGTGAAGACGTGTTTGATTTTTTTTTAAAGAATTCTTCTATTACAGTATTTATTCTGTTTAAAAGTATGCAGCATGTGAGTAAGGATTGCAATTCAGAGATTTTGTTGGGAAAAATAGGGGATACTGTTCAAAAAAGATCGGTCATCACTCATCAGATATATATTCTATTTTCTGTGTAGATTAAAATGAATGGTTTTATTCATCGACGATGCTCCTGTCCATGCACGATCCTAGGCAAAGACCCATAGCCATCTATTTTAATATAGCCTGAAATCTTCTCAGTTCAATCATTGTTTATTAACTATTTTCAACGTACAGTTTAGCCGTTTCTTCTCAAAACCAATGCTTTAATTTCCTTCTTTTTTTTTCCCCTTTGTCTTATTTGCTAGAACAAAACAAATAATAGAGAGTTTCTGGTGATAGAAGCAAAGTTTGTGATGGTCACATGCCTGTCTTCCATCTCGCATGCAAAGAGTCAGTACTGATCAATAGTACTTTTTATGATTGTTTTTTGCCATTTTTCTTCTTCACTTTTGAAAAAAAATGGTGTTTTCAAAATTCAGTGATGTCTTCAATGTTACTACCCTATCTGAGAAAAGGGTAATAAAAATTCATTTTATTATTGATTACAAGAAATATTCAGATATGGGAATAAAAAAAAAGGTGGTGGTATGTTATTATCATAATGGCTTTCACATATTCCAGGTTTTGAATATATGAGCTTCCTCGCATAGTGGTTAATTTTTCCACGTTCATTTGTAGAGAAGCTGTCTCCTTTTCACAACCACTTCTGCTGTCAATGACTTGGCATTTGGCAGCTTTCCTTTCTTTTAGGATATTAAACTTTTCTCCGTTGCCCTAACATGGTGAAACCAATTACTCAACCAAGAAGTGTGTCTTCAGATTTTGTTTTGAGTCTAATTTCATAATCAGGGTAAACCACCATTTCCTAACTTAAACGATTCTTGTATTAAAAGCCTTAGTCCAAGTGATGGAACATGATCTGCAGGGCCATGGAGCAAGGTTTTGAGGAGCTAAGAGTGAAAATGAATTCAGCTGGCTTCCATTTCTTGTCCATTATTTGGATCCAGGCAGGAAAGAAAAAGGATAACCAAACAGGGGAAGGTTCGACCATTCAAATTGCAAACGTTATCCTATTTCTTCCCCGTGATGGCTATTGTACAGTGTTTGAACATGCATGGAAGCACATGCTTGTTTTTACGAATACGTCTACATGCGGAAATATTAAAAAAAAAAAAAAAGGAAAAGTCTTTGAGAGATCGAAAGGGAGAATTGGTGAGATTAAAAATGGTTTTGAAGGCAACAAGGAAGCTTTTACTGGTAGAGTTGGATGAGAATAGAAAATGAAATCATGCATCCATTCATGCTTTAATTTTTCATGACTATTTGCTAAAATATGAATTTATTTAAGCAAAAAGACATGTTTAGGTAATCGGAATCAATAAATTCATTACATCCACTTACATCCACCATAACTTTAAGCCAAGACAGAAGTGGAGTAAATGGCAAAGAAATATCATTATTTAAAGTAGCAAAGTCAAAGTTTTGCACCACATATAATCTGTAAGAGAATCCTTGCAGGTAGATTGAAATCTAAAGAGTACATTTCCGAAATTAGGTATCAAGGAATAGAATTCTTGCAGTGTAAGTTATGTCCATCATCCAGGACTTCAAAATCTTGCTTCAACTAATAATGACAAAGGACATACTTAGAAAAGGGGAATAAATCTCCAAATGGACATCACAAGAAGGAAAGCAATGATTTTGATCCATAATGTGGTGCTTCCTTCCCACTTTTGATATGTTATCGAGGCACACTGAGACCTAGTTCTGTACAAAATTATAACAATAATCCCAACAAATTAGCATTAGCAAGCAACATATGAAAGACGCTAAAACAACAGGCGTTTCTTTAAGTCAATGGATTGTGAATAAAGCTACTTCACATATAGCAATCATTGGGGTCAAAACACAGCCAATATTTACTAAAAATATTTCAAAGCATGGTGACTGTTGAGAGTTAAGCAATGAGCAATTATAAAATTAGACGTGCGATACATAAAACTAGACCTGGTTGGCTGCGGCACTTATATACTGTTACTAGAGCAAAAGTTGCTCATCTATAATAGATAAAGAGATAACTTGCAAATCAACCAAACAATGAACTAATAGCACTGACTACAAGATTCTAATATTGACCTTCAATATAAAATTTTGTTCTGAATTCCACAAGGAATTGAACATTTAGCATGCATAGTTAATGCTAGCCTAGATTTAAATCTGAACATTAGAATAAAAGACAAAAGCACAATCTTTGCAATTCCTGAAGAAATGCAGACCACTAAACTGCAGAAAACAAAAGAAGTTTGAACAATTCTAATGGCCCTACATTCCCTAAACAAGAATTTTTTACATGTATCTCCAGCAATTAAAATTTAAAAGATCAAATTCTTCCCCTTAACCAAACAGGGCTTCCCTATCCATTTATATAGTCCAAGTACATGGTCTGACACATACAAAACTATATAATTATAACTAACATTCAATTATTCATTTTCAATTGGAGAACGTATGGAGTTTTGCCGCCACAGCTCCATTAATATCAATTGACAATGAGGATAGGAAAGGGCCTTCAGTTGTAAAACATTCTTCTTTGATAGATAAGAATCACACAAGCTTAAAATCACATTGAAAAGAAAAGAAAAACGAAGTAATACATAATGAAAAACATAATAGAGAGCCATGGACCTATTATGTATATGATATGCGTACTATAGATGGAGCCTAGAAGGGAACAGTATATGCAGAAAGTAATGGTCAATATAGCTAGTGTCTACATTCTCAATCATATTAGAGTAGCAGTTTATAA